TCAGAAATCTCTTCAAAAACATTCAAATGGTGATGATAATAATAATAATAACAATACATACCGGAAGGTTCTGCAGTGTATACATTCAGATTCAGATTCAGAATACACTGAGAGTAGGTGGTCAATTCCCGGGATTACTATATGTACATGTATTAATACGATCCCGGGTCCCGGCTTTTCTATAAGCGATCCGGGGATTTTCCCCCCACCTAATATCAGCGAATTCGTCAGAAGATTAGTGCGTCCCAAATTTTCTCTTCGATCTCCTCGGGTTTTATGGTCCGCATAGTGAATGACATTGACCAGTTTTCAGCTTTCGATTTTCTAAAACAATATTCAGCTGATTATGTAAGTATTTTCCCGATATGTCTTTTTTTTTTTTACATTTTAGTATTTTGTAATAGCAAAGCCTTCTGCTCAATAAGATCCAAAGGAGGCCAAAAATATTCTTTTAACTGCCGGTCCTTTTTCAGTTTTTTAACAGTTTAACAGTTTAAGCAAATCAAATTTCTGTCAGATTCATCTGAGTTCGAATTCATCTACATTTATACATTTATCTGTCAAACTTAACATTTCTTTAACGGTGCATAAGACAAAAGACGAATGAGAAATAAAATTGGAAAGACAGAATAAAGACACAGACACATAAACAGATAAAGACACGGACACCACGAAATACCCAAATATAGTGGAACCTCATTGTATCGTGCTATTCATTGTATCGATCTATTTACAAATCTTTCGATTTCTTTGCAAAATGCAGTAGCTACTGATTGCTAACATTTACAAAAGTGTCACGAAAATCTTTCGCATTTGTTTTGTGCCGTAAAAATGGTCAAAATCAGGTTTCCAGTACCGTCAGACTCTCAGTCAGACTTTGTAGATAATAAATGGACTTATAAATAGTGTATTCTTATTAAAAACACATTTACTGTGTTGAAAGTTCCTAAATTTATGCTAACATTTTAAAACAGACATCTTTGATTCTAATTGACTGAAAAATCTAGCATAAAGATGGGTCAGACTTCCAAAACTTTGATTAAGTGAGCGATTCTCACAATGCATCGCTATAATGGCGTGACCTAATTCTTCAACCTGTTTGACATATCTGTATATGTGTATATTCCAAAGCTAAAAACTATATATCAGTGATGTTTGCCATGTAATATTTATGACAAAAGAATCAAAATAAATGATACAAAATAAAGATTCAGGGAAATTTAATGTTTTTAACTGCTGTTGTGATTTATGGGTTAATAGATCGATACAACGGGGTTCCAGGCTACACCCAAATATAGCAATATTTATTTTTGTTTGTATAAAATATAGATTATAATGAGAAATGAATAAATAAATATTTATAAAATGATATGACTTAGGCTCACTTAGCCTGCTATAACTTTCATTCATTCCGTTGAAATGGCCAGTTAAGATGTTGTAAGAAAATAAAGTTGTGACATTTGCTTATCTACTATATCAAGGCCGTCATCGATGGTCTGTCCGGTCCGGCCTTGGCCGAACCAATATTTTGGCCAAAAATGAGTAAACAAAAAAAAAACACGCATTGCTGTTACTTAAGTATTCTCCTAAACGTGTCAGTCTCTTCGAAAAACTTAAGCAAGATCTAGCACCTGAGACGCTGGGTTTTAGAACTATGTGCCCTACTCGCTGGACAGTCCGTGCAGCTAGTCTCAAAAGTGTGATTGATAATTACACTCTGCTACAGGACCTATGGGACGAGTGTAACGCTAAGGACTCTGAGACCAGGGCGTGAATACTTGGTGTTTCTGCTCAGATGAGGACATTTGAGTACTTTTTCGGTGTAATGCTTGTACACGACATCCTAGCATTAATAGACAACCTCAGCAAATCTCTTCAACAAGTTTCATTGTCAGCATCCGAGGGCCAGCGGCTAGGAAAGCGGACTCTAGATACAGTAGAGAACTTGGTTTTGTTTGTGATTTCTATGGTAACGATAATAACCGGGACATCTTAGAGGTGCAGCTTCAGCTGCTACGTTCACATTTTGACATATCAGAAAATAGATCTGTTACTCTACCTGACGTTTTGAAATTTGTGTCAGAACAGTCGGTGCTAGAACGAACATTGTTCTCTGAGATTGCTGTGTTGTTAAAGATTCTGTTAGTAATACCTGCTACTAATGCTACAAGTGAAAGGAAATTCTCGCCGCTCAGAAGAATAAAGACACACCTGAGATCAACAATGTACACTTGAACAATCTAATGGTGTTACATATTCATAAGTACAGGACAGATTTACTCAACTTATTTGTAATTTCCGATGAGCTCATTACCACCAGATGATTTTGGAAAATTTACATAAAATGAGACTCTGTTGTGTAAGAGTATTGTGAACAAAATACAAGTTACTGCTAAACAAATAGTGGTTATTGTTGACTCGTAATGTACTATTCTTCCATCATGTCATCGATTGTTAATTGTGTGATTTATGTTAAACAATAATCCACGTACTGTGATATTTCTTGTAATTGTTTATTTGTAATCATCTGATAAAAATGCATCTAAAGAATTATAACAACATCAGTTATTGTTTATTTTTCATTTGCCAATTATCAGTAACGTGTATTAATCTTTTATGTACACCTATCCGTCCGTTATGCTTACCTTAAATGTCACCCTTAAAACTTACGACGCGTTTAAATCTGCGGCAGACTGATAAATGCACCAAATATACGGGAAAACAGCCTTGAGAGCATCCTAGAATAGAAAAATTTTCCGGGGGAGCATGCCCCCGTATCCCCCTAGATTCTGACTAAAACCAACCAAATTGGCCGAACCAATCACAAAATCGTGACGACGGGCCTGTATATAGGTTCTTTATGAATGTACTTGCAATTTTAAATCAAGATATGATATTTGTTGAAATTACCCTGTTACATTGTCTACACTTACATTTTAAAGGTGTAATTTTGTTGAAATTTCATATCATATACAAGTGTCCATGTTATTTTTAAAAAATAGCTTTAATGGAGTACATATGCTGTATTTTGGTTCAAAATACAATGATAGGAAAATATATATGGGTATGTTTGATTATATCTTGGTGAAAGTGTATATTGTATTCATGATTAAAACAGCACTTTTCAAGTATAAAACATTCATTTTTAGTATAATTGAGCAATATTTGGGTATATTTAGGCAATATTTAGGTATTTCGTGCTACCCCAAGGACACAGGTTTTGGTAGAAAAGGTTCAAAAGTTGTACACAGTTACTTTTCAGCCATCTACTCTAGGCAAGACCAATCGAGCTTCTTTGGCGTTGACCAGGTTCGAGACCCTGCTGGCATTGCTCAAGCCCTTTAATTGGAAGTACTTCGTAACTGTGCATGCAAGCCCGGCAATCTCCTGGATTATACCCCTATGTATATTTCAGAAGTAAAACTTGTATATAATATTCTGTAATGGAATGAACCTTTTATATACTCCTGGTTTGGACCTGGTTTTTTTTCCAGGATATAGCCAAAAGTCCCCTTAAAAAGGTTAATTTAAACAGCGCATTCCTGAAGGATGCCAAAGAATGAGCCTCAGCAACAGATGCTGGCAGGTTGTTCCACAGAGGAATACAAGGAGGAATGAAGCTGAACTTCGTAATGTCAGTGGACATTGAATACTGCAGGAATGTGGTACTGTGTGGCGACCTTGGTCTTGGTTTAGTTGGTGTTAAGAAATGGCCGGGATCTATCTCCACAAGTTGATGGATGATTTTGTATAGCATACTGAGTTTCAGACAGAGATTTTGCATTCTGATTAAGATTTGGAGCTAAATTTAATTATTGAGGTTAGAGCTGTCATCGATATCGACAATATCGATGTATCGTTGATATTTTTTTGTCGATCAATAATCGATACACATTTTAAAAAATCGATACTTTTGACTTATAAATTAAATGTCTAGAAATTATACAATTCACCCAAAATATATGCAGAAACAATTATTTATATCAAATGTGATGCTTTTGTTATATAGTGGAATTATTTCATAGCAATGGTAACAAAAAATATTGTCTAGAAAAAATCATGCAGTGGACAAGACACTGTACAGAACATGTTTTTGACTGAAATCATTGAAACAGGTATGAAAATGAAAGACAGACAAGTGAGTATAGGATATTATCGATATATCGGTGTATCGTTGATTTTAGTTTCTTGATATCGATATATCGTTGATATGCTTTGCACTGAATCAATGACAGCTCTAATTGAGGTCTTACTCTAGATAACAGTTTACTGTTAACTTGTTTTAGAAATGACTGTCAAGATTGTCATTGATATATTTTTAGCTCACCAGTCACAAAGAGACAATGTGAGCTTTTATGATCACAATTTGCCGCGCGTCCATCCGTAAACTCTTACTTTGAACCCAAACTGGGGGTTGTTGACTTTCCTCATATGTATAAAGTAAAAACTGAAAAAATCTTATTTAAAAAGAAGAAACAAAAGAGCTAGAGCTTAGATAGTTATTAAGCATGAAACATCTTCTAGTGAATGTCTACAAAGTTTGTTCAAATAAAAGCCCTGGTAAAATGCCACCCTTGGGGGGGTTTCATTTTGATTTTCCTTATCATACAAGGTTGACACATCTTTTTGAAAACTGCTTTTTCCCATTTAACAATGAAGAACCCAGTAATTGTTTTTACACATGACTATTTTAATACAAATTTATGAATTTGTGATACCTTAAGATTTCGGCTTTTTGATTATAGTTACATTATATTACTTTTCCTTGTCATGGAGGGTTTTTAACTATTTCAGGTGAGGATTTTAGGTTCTCATGGCCCGTTTGTTTTATATTCAATTATAATAGTACCATAAGTGAACAATGGTTTTGTAATAAACTATAACTCTCACAAGTTATAATTTTGTTGTCAACTTATTTTTAACAATAATAATCGAACCATTTAACTTATTTTAAGCCCTTGTATCTTCTTTAAATGAAAGTTAATGCAAAGGAGCTGAATTTAAACACTGCAAAAATTGAGAGACCAGCCAAGAAACTAAAAATGGCTTCCGAAATGTTGGAAAGTCCCATCGGAGCCTCTGAACCATTTTTTGGGGAACAGAACAAAGATGGAAATAAAACCTGGGAGGAGATGAAACTGATAGTGAAGGATACAAGAAAGATGGTAAGCTCACTAGCCAGTAAAGTGCCCTCAAATTTCCAGTTCCGGACACAGGAAACGCCGGATGGTCCAATAACAAGGTAAAATCTTTGTTTTTATTTATGAAGTTTAAATGTTATTTTAACAGTTGAGTTTATACAATATACTTTGAACATTATATGAGCCGCGTCGTGACAAAACCAACGTAATGTGTTTGCGACCAACATGGATAAAGACCAGCCTGTGCATCCGCGCAGTCTGATCAGGATCCATGCTGTTAGTTTATCAACCCTATTACAAGTAGTGAAACTGATGGCGAACATGGAGAGCTAATAATATCTTATATACCCTTTATTATTTGACATCATTCTTTTTCAGACTATACTTTCTTGGCATCCCACCAAAGCAGAGAGAATCAACCCTGATGTATGTCAATGTCCCATCAGTTCCTATGAACATTACACCAATGTTACAGTGGTGCAGTCTATTAGAATCATTTTCATCTACTTTGTCCAACAATGTACAAATGTCGAAAGAAGAACAACTGCTGAGGGAAAGGAAAAGGTAAAATACTTAATGACTTTTATCTGCCTATCCAGCATTGTTTTAGAAAATCTCCAAAGTTAAAGTATAGGTGTGTCTTGTATTAACAATAGATAAAATAATATAAAAAAGATGTTATTCATTTAAGGGGGAGCAAACAATTTACTTTCCCCCTTAAGGTCAATGGTTAACGTGGTTAAATAGGTTTTACAACATTTTTTTGCATATCAGGCCACTGGCGTTTCCCGTTGAGTTTTTCCCCATGGTCCGGAAATTCATTCTGGCATGGGGGGTTTTCCAGATGAGTTCGCTGCTGTACAATGGAACGTTGTAGTGATGACGTCATCTCACTTACCGTTATGAATGAAGTCTTGTAATTCAACGTGTTGTCTAAGAAAGTAGTTACGGTTTGCTAAATATAAAAAATTTCAAGAAAAAAATTTAAAAAAATTTTAAAAATATAAGGAATTTGATAGAATAGCAAAAAAAATATCTGACATATGTTTGCGGTTCGGATCGGAATATCCGTCCCTCGCTCACTCGCCCATGGGCGGGTCACCTCGGGATGGATATTCCATCCGAACCGCAAAATATGACAGATATTATTATTCTCATATTTCACTGATACTAGTTTTTTACTTATATGAAATTTAGTTTAGAGCAGATTGGTTTAAATAAGCTTTAAGCTTTTATCACACAATCAAGTTAACATAAATATGTTTAAATATACAAATCACTAAAGTGTGTTAATTATTCCTACAGTTTTTAACAGCCAGTGTTTGCTTCACTTTCAGGCTTGGGGTATTCGGAATCACATCATATGAGCTAACAAATAAAGGAAAGTTGGTGTTCCCAGCATGCAATAGTCTGTTTTGCTGTTTTGACGAAAATCTTGCGGTAAGAATTCAATTTTAATTTTGACATTTAAAATTTCTTTTAAGAAAATGAATAGCATTTGAAGTTAAGTTTAGCTCAAACTTTATTCTATGCACTAACTATGATTATGTATTATACAGAATATTTAACACTATAGAATGAATTGTATTTACCTGTCAGCAATTAAATTTATCCCTAAGTTCCCATTTTTAAAACCATTTTTCACTTTCATCAGTTTTTAAATTTTGGGAAAGAAAGCATCTGCCCATTAAAGGGGTTTGGGGGCGTTCATTTCCCAAACCCATTTTGCCCCTACTGTTGGGGGTGTTGAATTTTTCGACAGGGACCATTAACCCTTTAACTTGGGAAGCTTTTGCGGGCTACCCTACAAAACATAAATAAATTTTTACTCAGGTACCTGACATGCCTAAAAAAATCCCAAAAGGGGGGCAAACTGGGGGTTTAAACCCCTCCACCCAAGTAAAAGCGGGACAGTCACCTTTATTGATCTTTTCTTTTGGTTTGGACAAAAATCCAACCAAAAAAACCCTTTTTTTGAAATTCAAAAAAATTTTAAAAATGACCCGGGTGTATGAAAAAACCAAAAAAGTGGTTTTTGCGCCCCAGATAGACCCGACCACCCTGCACTTTCCGGAAAATTTTCTGTTTTGGGGAAATCAATGCTTTTTTGGCTATTTTTTTTCTCTACTTTGTTATTTTATTTTTTAAGGGGAACAGCATTGTTTTTGATGGGAACGGGCGCAAAAGGGCAAGGCGGGTTTGGGACCATCGGGTCGAAAACCCTTATTTTGGGTTTTTGTAATGAACGTTTGTTTTGCTTTTTTGGGAAGGGGAAAAATTTAAATTTAAAAGAAAATTTTTAATGGTAAGGGTTTAAAAGGGGTAAATGGATAAAAATTTTTCCTAGTTTTTTAAATAATTTAAAACATTTATACTTTTAAGAACATTTAAAACTTTTTGCTGATATCCTTTCATGTATTATGTGCTTTTTTTTTAAAAAACAGACCCCAGTTTTTCCAAACCCAGTTATAAAACTAATGTAGTTGGAGCACGTAATGGATCCCCAGATCTGCCCGAACAACTCAGATCTTGTAGCTTTTGTTAACTCCAATGACTTGTGGGTAGTGAATACAAAAACTGGTCAGGAATTTGAGACTGACACACTCAAATAAAGGTAAGAGCAGCAATTTAACCCCTACAAATTTAAAGTTAACTTTAATGAAAATGTCCAGAATTGTACAAATGTTGTCAAGTGTAGGAATTCAGTGTTTATTCTAGCCGAAAGACACTTACTTTTTACAGAGATAGCTAATAACTGGTTAAAAATATGCACAAATCTCTCTCTTAATTTGTAAGTAACTTTGTATATTTTTGGTCATTGATATATGAAAACTCTGTCATAGTTTGTCACTTGTGTAAAATATTTCAAAGTTTCACATTGATTTATGAATATTTATTTACATATATTTTTATTTTTAAGTTTGGGTATTCAAAGGTTTGGTCATGTGATCATAAAAGTAAGGCTTCCTTAATTATTGGTTATACCTACATGTAGAAATTAAATTCATAAAAAGAAATTTAATCATAGAAATAATTTATTATCATTGACATATAATCTCATTTTAAAATAGAATCTGTTTACTCACAAGGTTCAGGAAACCCCTAAAGAAGACCCATACAGTTCCGGAGTGCCATCTTTTGTTGTACAAGAAGAATTTGACCGTTACACTGGTTATTGGTGGGAACCCGGTGAACAATCAATCAACAGAGAATAAAACATACAGGATCTTGTTTGAGGAGGTTGACGAATCAGATGTTGATATTATATCGGTATTATTCATATTATAGCTATATATATATATATATTTTTATTATATGATCTAAAATATCTGATTGGTCCAAACAGTAGTTGACAGAAAAAAATGTAAATCATAATCATTGGGTGAAGTGTCATATTCTCTGGCTGAATTGGATTTTCCTGGTCTAAAAATAGATTGAGACTCGCATTTAACTACCATACATCTTGGGTTGATATCTATGCCTGTGCATATCAATTTGTCACTGTTTTGTTCTTCATGGCATATTTCTCAATTCAAATATTGTTATTTCACTATAATAATTAAATATTGCACAGTGATTAAAAGTATATACTTTAATAAATTTTGTTTGTGCAGTGTTCGCGAAACTGTTGAACGTCTGATGTTGTCTTTTTATATAATCAGTTCAATAAAAACAAACGCTTTTCTTAAGCTTTCGACGTTTAGTCTTCTTCAGAAAAAATTGGCGTTTATAACATAACAAATGACAATTTTTTTTTATTTTTTTTATTTTTTTTTTTTGTCTTTTTATGACATATATGTCATTTTGACATTTTCCTGAGCTTCCTTGAAAAACAGTAGAAATTTGCTGTTTTGTAATTCCTTATTAATGCTTTACTTTTTGTGATTCTTTAAAAATCATATGCATTCATATACTAAAACAATTATTGATTAATGAGCCATTGAAAAGATGTGATTTTCAACAGCAGTATATATTTTTGTCATTCTGTCGGTGGATATCACATCATATTCACTGGCCAACTAGTCAATAATTGTATAATATTTTTATGGCTATATAATGTTTTAAAGATTATAAATGTATTAGTGTACTCTACCAGGTATTAAGATTAATGCTGGGTTAATTGTGCCACAAGAAATAACATTAAACAGTTTTTTTATGCCACCGCAGCATCTGCGATGCGGTGGCGTGTGTGTTTGTTTGTGTGTGTGTTATAAAGATTATATAGTGAACTTAAAAAATCTTCTTGTGAAAAACCACTAGTTCAATTTCAATCAAACTTGGCAGGATTGTTCCTTGGGTGAAGGCCTTCCAAAGTTGTTCAAAGAATTTCATTCCATGCAGAATTCTGGTTGCCATGGCAACCAAAAGGAATAATAAGAATAAATTTAAAAAATCTTCTTGTAAAGACCCAAAAGGCCTAGAGTTTAGATATTTTGCATAAGGCATTGTATGGTAGACCTCTACCAAGATTGTTCAAATTATATCCCTGGGGTCCAAATCGGCCCCGCCCCGGGGGTCATTGATTTTCACAATACATTTATGTACATATATTAAAAACTTAAAATACCTTCTTGTCTGAAGGTACCAGGCTTAGAGGTTTGATATTTGATATGTGTTATTATCTATAGGTACTCTACCAAAGTTGTTCAAATTTTGCCTCTAGTGTCAAAATTATCTTTGCCCAGGGGGTCATAGGTTTCCCTTATATATATAGTAAAAACTTAAAAAATCATCCTCTCTAAATTGACAAAGGCTAGAGATTAGATATTTTGCATGAAACATTGTGTAGTGAACCTCTAGCAAGATTGAACAAATTAAAGCCCTTGGGTCAAAATTGGCCCCACCCCCGGGGGTCATTGATTTTCACTATGTACATATAGTAAAAAATTAAAAAATCTTATTGTCTGAAGGTACAAGGCTTAGAGCTTTGATATTTGGTATATGATATCATCTAAAGGTACTCAACCAAAGTTGTTCAAATTTTGCCTCTAGTGTCAAAACTAGCCCTGCCCCTGGGTCATAGGTTTTCCTTACATGTATATAGTAAAAACTTTAAAAAATCACCTTCTCGAATTGACAAAGGCTAGAGGTGAGACATTTTGCAGTAAACATTGTGTAGTGAACCTGTAGCAAGATTATTCAAATTAAAGCCCTTGGGTCAAAACAAAAAAAATGTGTTCCTACATTACTATTTTAGTGTTGTATTTATGCGGTGGCATAGCATTTTTTACAAATGCAATCTTGTTTTAAGGCACTTTTTATTTCTCTGTCAGTAATGAATGACGAGATGCTGTGGTAGTTTAGCACGGAGGAAGGTAGTCTAGTACTGGTGTAACACTCCAGGAACGATGGTTAGGGAACTATCAGCCTATATGACTGAAATACTGTTGGGAAAAGGCGTAAAATGAAACAAACGAACAAACAAAACAAGCAAAATACATGTATTTTAGCAGAGATATATTATGAACATATGTTACAATACATAGCTAAATGGTATGATTGAATTTATTTTAGCTTCATTCACCAATGGAGGGCGTTGACCAGTACAGATACCCACGGCCTGGAAAAACTAACGCCAGAAGTTGCCTGAAAATCATTGAATTCTCGCTTAATGATAAAAATAAGGTATTTACATTTAATGAAGTTTGAGATATTAAAAAAAAAAAGATATAACTTTCACAATTTTCAATGTAAATTGTCAATGAACAAAAATTATGATACAGTCGAGACTGTCATATGTGACTTTCCAAGGGATCTTCAGAAAAAGGTCGCATATGACAGGGAGTCTCTAAATACAGTCTCAATATCATCTATCTGTCTATATACCAATGTGACTTACAGAACCTGTATGTTTTGTGATTGATATTGTTACTGTGTTCACGTAGCTTGCAAAAAATATATATGGATCTAATTATGCAAATAAAACCATTTTTAAACATCAAAAAATATGTAAAATGTTTATTGCAAATATTTGCGCACATTATATTTAATCAATAAATTACATGCATTGATTTCTTATTGGAAAATTTGACTTAAAATTTATAGAAAATAATGTTCTAATTACCTCCCTTTAATGGCCTTTATTTACATGAAATGTTAAATTGGGTGATATCTTTCTAAATTATGCTTATTTGAACTTACAATATTGACAAATCTTAATTTGAGCATCATATTTATGAAATAAAACCGTGAAAAAATGGTGTTACAGGATCTTTACTGTAAACATATCCATATCCAAAGCTTTTTCTGATTTGGTATCAATATTTTTTTCCGTATTAATTATGCAGCCATAGTAAGGTAAATTAAAAAAAATGTTGCCTAAAAAATCTTCCGTGAGCACTCTATAATTAAAAAAAAATCTAACACAAGTCTTAACCCAGTTTACTCAGTACATTACACACACATCGATTACATCATGCTTCCCATGAACCGACGCTACGTCACTTGGTACCTGCATGTATCTACATGCTAACTGTGTAATTGAGATACAGGTGTGTAGACTTTGTTTGCTACAATGCTGGATTATAATTGGACTTGATTATTTTGGCCCTCTGGGTGTTATAATAGGTAATCTTTATCTGATTAACGGACAATTAAAAGGTGTGAAAGTCGTTTAAATCAGACAAAACATTGCATTGGGACCAGACAATTAGGGTCGCTTGTCACATATGACAGGGAGTCGTTTAATTCAGACCATTTATATAGGAAAATACGTTGGGAGTACTGAAACAAGGTCGGATAAGACAGGGAGTCGTTTAAATCAGGGGGTCGCTTAGGCAGTCTCGACTGTATATATTTTTTGGTCCATGGATGTTGAAATGTATGTTAGTACATACCTGTGTAGTTTGTGTGACATTGTTTATAGTACATACTGTATGGACATGCATATGTTTTGACATGACAACATATTTGCGGTATACAAACATAGCAGTAAGTCACACTATTTTAATTCTTGGTTTGTGATTAATAGAATATTACAATCAAATAGTGTCGTTTTTAAATTTTAATTGAACTTAGCGATTAAGTTGGTATTATTCTAGCCTATAAAATTCAATATCCTCTATGAAACTGATGTTGAATAGAAAACAGGCGAATCTAACACTTGCATTGATGCCTAGATAATCTTTTATTGTAACCAAAGCAAGGGAGAACACCAATATGGAGGCAAAATAATTTGATATATTCAATATTATAGCATAAAATCGGCTATTTTTCCCTCTTTTGCCCATGTTATAACGGGACCAAAACCATGTGTTAACATAGTCACGCGCTCTTGTTATAGCCCGGTTTCACCTATGCGCAATACATACAGGGCCCCGTAGACAAACAAACAAAAAATGACGATTTGGCCTGTTTGCCGAAGAGTCATGCGCTCTTGTTATATTGAAATTTATTGATTCGAGGGCCTCAGTCGCATATTCCAGTAACTATGCCGGAAAACGGCGTATAGACATCGGTGCTAATCTTGGTTGTCGCCCTTTCTTAGAAACGGACAGTTGTCAATGTAAACAAATACAGTAGAATCTACCTGTCATTCAGTTTAACACTCCGATTAACTTACAAAACTAGATAACACAAAATTCATATGAGAAAATGTTTTTTATTTATGTTAATGTTGATAAATGCTCTTTATATTTCTTTGAGAGAATAATGCTTAGTGCCTGATTTTTTTATAAACTTGTTTGCTTGAAAAAAAAAACGATTCTGATGTCACTGTCACTGATCTTTTTTCTACCGTCAATCTGAAATCACTCTAAGAATTTCTGAGGGTCATGTTTTGTCTTGGGTAGAGGGTAGAGTAATGTAACGGTTTTTTTTTCTTGAGATAATAAATCTCCAAAGACCAAGCTTTGTTAAATCAATTAAAATTCAAAATTTCGTTCGGTTCCTAGAATTTTCCAAGTTGTTGGCCCCGGAAAAATGAAACGCATACGTAAAACATAGAATTGGATAAATACTGTCCAAGCACAAGAATTTAATGTAATTGTGTTTTGTATAAACTATACATCACGAATCTGTTTGAAAATTTTATGCTATAATAGCGTCAACGCACGTTTATTTCGTGTTATAAAGTCTGCAAAGTCCCTCGGAACTGTTGGAGCCCTCGCCCTACCGGGCTCGGGCACCAACCGTTCCTCGGGACTCTGCAGACGTTATAACACGAAAAAACGTGCGTTAACCCTTTTTAATGATAAATGATTGATGTATGCTTTAAAAATCAGTATATTTCATGTATGTTACAAGAATGTTTTTTTTGTCTTACAGTTTAATGAGTCAGTGTTATGCAAATGTTTATACGAGTCATTATCTTCACTGTTTCCGTCCATGGAATATTTGCTTAGAGCGGGCTGGACCCCAGATGCTAAATAGTAAGTAAACCTACATCATAGTAAACTTGATATAAAACAGAGGCTTTTTCTGTATTTCATATGTTACAACTCCTTTATCTTTAGTTTATAAGAATTTACTTCTTTAGTAGGATTGTGTTAGAAAATCATGTAGGAATCAGATCCTAGCAATACTAAGCAATGGATGTTAAGTTTCTTTCTCAAGAAAGCAATGACCTACTCTTAACAGAGTTTGATAGTTGTTGCTCTTAACATAAGAGCATTTACACCATATGGGTTACTCTTTAGTTTTTCAACAACATCTCCCAAAGACTGGAAGGTAGATTTTGACTAAATTATCGTGTGATTTTGGTCTGATACATTATCATAGAAACTGGAGAAGAAAAAAAATCAAAATAAATTCTTAAAACATCCTGTCATCTTTTGTGTTTTATATGGTCAATGCAAAACTCCATTCGGGTATTTCTGGTAAATGATTTTCGATTTCACCAAGATTCACCAAAAATTATAAAATATAACTGAAAACAGTGATGTTTATTTTGTGCAGCGTCCATTGTCAACTGCTGAATAGGAAACAGACAAATCTAACACTGGCACTGATACCTTCACAATGTTTTGTCGTAACCAAGGCAACTGATGATGTAGATATGGAGGCAAGGCAATCTGAGAAATATCCCAATATACATTTGATACATGAAGACACATCAGAAATATGGGTCAATGTAAGTTTACTTTACTTTCTTTGTTTGGTTTTAACGCTAATTTTAACACTTGATTATGGTCATATTTTATCAGTTGATCCACCTAACTGCCTGTCCTGGAAAACTAACAAGTAATTATCAATATCTGCATAAGTGGCCAGCCATCTACTAACCCAAAATTATTTCTGAATCAGCAGTGAGAGGCAAATGAACCTAGACTCAGTTTCTAAGATCAACCGTCATTGAGCTTTTCAGCCTTGCCCGAAAATTGAAACAACAACCCCTAATAACGAATCTGATGCTATTTTAATGAGCTGAGCAGATGGATATCTCTTTACTTTCTTATCGACTCAAGTTGATTGATGTATCACTTTCAGTAGTGATTTGTTAAATTTTCACGGGAACAGCCTATGCCTTATAATTTGGGAAAATTTAGCACATTAATTATGTCTGTTTATTGCCAGCCAGATGAGGATTTGATCCAGAGTTGAAGATTCACAAATTGAACCATGACATACAGTAGAACTTCTATGAGTCGAACTTCGATTTTCTCAAATGTCGAAGTAAAATGAAAGTCCCGATTTTTTCCCTTATAATTATATTCCTTATAAAAACCTATTTATGAGTCGAGATTTTATGTGTCGAATTTTTCGATATGTCGAAGTTTTTTCATGGTCCGTATTAGAATAAATCTAGAACAATTTACCACAAATAAGTCGAAGTCCTTCGATTATTTTGACACGTTCGATCTCAGACATTTTTCAACACCTTTTCTGGCCACGAAGACGATTTCCCGATCAACTTTAGTGACAGGTGTTTAATTACACAGACGAAGTGTTCAAACAAGTCCTTTGTAGCGTTTAAATGTGTGAAAAAATGCTTAAATAGTTACTACTTTAATTGCCCATAGTGGTAATTTGAAAGTTAATGTAAACAGTAAAGAACTATCATTTTGAGTGCTTCCGTGACCGGTGTCGCGTGATAATCACACGCGAAATATTTACTATTAAGCTGGTTAAGTTATTGCCCCCGTTTGGTTGTTACACCTTTTGTAACTTCATTGTATACGTCAACAGGTAGTCCAAATCATTACCCTGAAAAGTTACTTAACAATGTATATTTATCCCATTCTATAATGTAAAAATATCAGATTAAGAATGAAAGAAAACATGAAAAGGTTACGTTATAGATTCTTACTAACTTAGGGCTAGTCACAGGTTGAAATTTTGTTATGAAATTCAGACCGATTCATGAGTCGAAGTCCCGATGTGTCGAAGTTTTTACGCAAGTCCCTCCAACTTTGACTTACTGAAGTTCTACTGTATCTAATTGTTCTAATACTAACTGAAATTACATTTTTAATGAAAAACATTTTAAATGGAACATAAAAAGGCATATAAAAAACCTCACATACCTCACATTTCTGCCATTATCAACTACACTTCCCTTGCTGTAGGGTGGCCAACGTTACAAATGACTAGTGCACGAATAATATGTTTCAACATTTGTTTATTTGCTAAAATTAAGATGTGTATGGTTTCATAAAAAGTAAATTACAAATTCTGTTGCAGGTACATGATGTATTACACTTCCTACCCAGTGATTCACAAAACGAGATTAATTTTATTTGGATGTCGGAAAGTTCAGGGTACCGACATCTGTACAAAATATCATCAAAGTTAACCACACAGCAAGAGCTAGGACAATCAGAGTTGCATGATGGTAGGAGAATTTCTATACTTTTTTTTTCCGGAGCTCTGCCTCGGAATTCAATCATTTCTTATGACTGAATATAAATCTGAGCTTTAGTTTAGACCTTCACTTATTAATATTTTAGATATTTTGTATGTTGGTTCCTTCTGTGAACCTGTACTCTTTAAGTTGGGCTTCAGATGGGGTCAAGGTCATTGATGATAAAAATAGATTTGCCAACCTTTCTTTAACTAAAGATTAAAATTTTGTCAAAGAATAGAAGGGGAGTATGAGAAGGTGTTATGTATATAACTGTTAATTTTTGTAATAACCTATATGATTTATCTCTTTTATCATTACAGATGTATTGAAGTGTGAATGTTCAACAGTAACTGCAATAACATCAGGAGAGTGGGAAGTCTCTCCTAAAGAGGTAGATACTTAAAGAAAATTCTTACATTTACCAAACTGAACTGCCTTGTCTGTCATAAACTGTTTAAAAGCATTACATATGACAGGTAATATAACGTTTGAAGCTTCTCATAACAGCATATGTTTTGAGACAGGAATAAAAACGCTTTCAAAAATATTCTCATATTTCAGTTAGCGGATGTTAATGATATCCGTCTGTTAAGGTCCTGTAACACAATTTTTTATGATTTTATATCATAAATTAAGATTTATCAATTTTGTAAGTTCCAAAAAGCATGATTTATAAAGATATTACTGAATTTAACATTTCATGTAAATAAAGGGAAGTAATAAAAAAATTATTTTCTATAAAGTCTAAGTCAAATGTCTCAATAAGAAATGAATGCATATATTTTAATGATTATATTTATATACAATATGTACAAATATTTGCAGTACATATTTTACATATTCTTCGATGTTTGAAAATTGTTTTATAAGCATAATTATATTATATATATAATTTCACTTGAGTGTGGTATACAATCTCAATTTCAACAAACAGGATCTTTTTTTTTCAATACGGAAAGCATAAAAATTTTAATTACAGGGGGTCGAAGGTTTGACCCCTTTGGGTTAGAATTTTTTCTCATGACATAGTTTAACATGTTAGTAGACTTAAATTTTGAACCCAAAATTAAAATAATTTGCCCAAGCTACCTTTAAAAGGTCACTGATTCTTTTTCAAATAAAGATGGAAAACTCTTTCCCTGGGGTAATACACTTAGAGAAAATTTATAATGTTTGGAAAGCACCATATGTCTTTCTTCTTAAATGGGTGGGGAATTTTACTACTCCCGAAATCAATTTTTTAATTTAAATTTAAATTTAAATTAAATTTTTTAAAAGGGGTTTTTAAAGCTTTTCATATATCAAAAAACATGTACATTTTAAATTTCTTCACTCGAATACCTCCCGTTTTTTAAAGTAAAGATACCAAAAAAAATTTTCCTTTTGGGGAAATAGGTTTAAATGTGCAAAAGTCAATAAATGATGTTTATAAATCCCCGGAAAAGGGCGAAATTTGAGTACAACGTTTACTGAAAAATTTTATTTTTTAAAAATCAAATTTGTAACATTGATTTTTAAAAATTCTATTTTTAGATATGGGTTATGAAAGCCCTCACTTTTTTTACTTTATTTCGAAATTTAAAGGGTACGCCATTAGAAAAATTTATTTGTTTAAATATAGGCAGGCCAATTTAAAGTTTCCCCCAGGGATCTCTGAAAAAAATGTTTTCGGCAAACTGCCCAAACCCTACTTAAATTATAAAGGGAAATTTTTAAAAAATTTTCATTTTTTTTTATTTCATAAAAAGATATTTTAAATTATATAGCTGGGTATAAATGGTTTTGGTGTGTCATTTTTGCAGTCTTTCCAGACTCTATATTGTTGACAGTTCAAGCTTATTATTTCAATATTGAATTATCCAATGAAAATCAAATTTTCAAACATGCAGAATTATATGAAACTTCATATGCCTACATTTGTCTGTCATCTGTATTTCCAAGTCTACCTGTTTAGTTCAGTAGGCAAGTAAACCAGGGGTCACAGGTTTATTCCGCAGGTCATACAAAACTCCTCTGTGATGATTGACCTCGGACATTGAATCAAATATTCATTTGTCACTCGCCACTGATTTAGAACTCATTTTGTATTACTAGTCTTGTATTTGTATTGAGTTATCCAGAAAACCCTTCAGGTGGATTGACCGCCAGCCAAGATATGAAAAAATATTGTGTTAAAGTCAGCTTAAAAAACCAGGATAAACAAATAAAGCTATATTTCAGATATGTAACCTCATATGACAAAACCAGCGAGCCAGTCAGATTAACGGAGCTAGGGTATTCTCATAGTGTCTCATTCAACAAGGAACGATCACTGTTTGTGTCAGTGTATAGTTCTGCTAAAGTTACACCAATGTCCACGCTATATCAGATTACCCACATAGACAACAATGTGAGAACACAGCCTATTGGAGTTCTAATGCCTTCATCACGTAAGTTTTATGCAATTCTTTTGATAAAGTTATTACAGAGATATACTGAAATCAGCTGGAATGGCTGTCATCTGGAGGTATTTTGATCATATCTTCAGTCAAAGAAACAAAACATTAAAAAGGGAAATTCCACCCTTTAAAAAAAAAAGGGGAAAATTTTTCCAAAAAAAAAAATTTTATTACTAAATATAATAAACATTGGGATTTTTCTAAATTGAAACCCCAATTTTTCCCCGTTAAATAAAATTTTTTGTTTATTTTAAAGCAAAAATCAAAATTGGGATGTCAAAATCAATGATTTTTTTTAAGTTCCCCCCTTTTTGGGTTTTTGTTTTTGGCCCAAAACCCGTTCTGAATACCAATCCCCCCGGAACTGTTTTAACTTTCAAAAGTTTAAAACGGGGTTTTACCATGTACGGAAAAGTATTATAAACCCCCACAACTTTTCCCAAACCCCGGTTTTTAAAAATCCCACTGTATTGTTCCGTTTACGGTGGCCCACATGTTAAAAGCTGGGGTCAAACTCTTTTAAAGGGGGTTTTTGTAAGTGGGAAACGTTTTTATTCAAAATTTCTTGTTAATAAGTTTTGTAGGGTTTTAAAACAATAGGGTTTTCACCATTTTTCCCAAATTTTTTATTACGACACTTAGAGGGCATTGAGAAAAAGCTTTTTGGGAACCGAACCTCTTCATTCATCTGGGGATTTTAATGAAATGATAAATATCCAGATATTTTCCCGGATATTTCCCAGAGCATATCTCCTATATGCATATCTATAATGCCTACATCTCTGTCAAAACCTTTTGTGACGGGTGTATTTTGCGACAATGTTGTCCTTGTTTTTTTTAATGACACAATATCCACCAATGAACAAGAATTTTGCCATTCAACCTTTTAATTGTTGTAGTTTTTAAAAACTTAAAAGAAAAGACACTGTATGAAAAAGTAGTCAATACATGTATATCATTATGCATTAATTTCTTTCTGTGCTATTTATAGGTTTTTGAGATTACATACGCTAGCATCTCAGGGCTATGCTGTTGTTCTGATTGATGGGAGAGGGTCCTGGTGTAGAGGACTGAAATTTGAAAGCCATATCAAAAATAGACTGGTAAGTTATTTGATAGCAAAATTTTGGTGCCAAGGCATGAAACTTAAAAGCAGTATCAGCAAAAGTCTGGTTACTTATTTAGACAGCAAAATCCTGTTTCTTTGGACATATTTGAAAGTTACACATCATTGACAGACTTGAATTCTGACACTGAGCTCTGAAATGTTTAGAAAATGGCAGAACAAGATTTTTTCTTCTATGGAGTTATACCATACTTTAATGAAGCACTCTTTTGAAGAAAGCTTAAATGTGGTTAAGGAAGTATGTTTAAAAAGAATCTTTCACTGGCTGCACTGGCTGCACTGGCTTTGGAAAAACTGTTTACAGCAGTAACATGGCTCTGCGAGTTTCTACTTATCAGATACCAGAGAGCTATGTAATCCTGCTTGTTTGGACAGACAGTGTTTGATTCTTTTTCTTGCAGATTACAGGTACCCATATTTCAGAAACAAACTATGAAAACTGATATTTTTATATAACATTTTATTCTCATAGTATTTTTGTTTGTTTGTTTTGGGTTTTACGTCACATCGACACAGTATAGGTCATATCACGACGTTCCAGCTTTTACTGGTGGAGGAAGACCTCAGGTGCCCTTCCGTGCATTATTTCAGGCACGAACGTGTACCTGAGTAGAACCACCGACGTTTTCATAGTATCATATTGATATACAGTTTATTTAAGGTCAAGATTACTTCATCCTAAGCATGCAGTTAAGTTATAAAAGGCACAAAGAAATGATATTACGGTAGTTAAAACTAGTAAATCAGTAAAGTTACATATGACATACCTCACTTTTGTTTAAATTGATTATTAATGTTGATCATCATGTTTTTTTTCAGGGCACCACAGAGATTGAGGATCAAGTTGAAGGTTTACAAAATTTAATGTCCATGGTAGATTTTATAGATGAGAACAGGATAGCAATACATGGCTGGTCATATGGTTGGTATTAAATTAGTTACCTCCCCTTATTGAAAACACGCCATTTGCATCCGTATAGTAAATATAAGCTTTTCGGAAAAAGTAACTTCTTATCGAACTATTCAATGTTAGTAAGGGACCAACTGGCATTTTTAACACTAAAGGTATAGGCCTCAGGTAGGTCACGGTACATCTCTGTAAAATTTGGAATAACTATTAACAATCTGTTTTAGTTATCTCCCTTTTATTGGTATGAGGACATTACAGATAATTTACTAAATTCAAAATAATTAAAATGAACGTCTAAAATTAACTATTTCATTTAATAGACTTAATTCAGTTTACTGCTAGGTTATTAATAATCCACATTAAAGGTGTATGGAAAGGTAAAAATATTCTAACATCATGACAAGTGTTAGTTAATTTTGTAATGTGGTTTTCAGGCTGCTTTATGTTTATATGTTAACCTAGGATATATGCCTTTAAATTGTGTAATAATGTAAATAATAGGTACAGATTACAGACTGTAATATTTTATGATTATAAATGTTTTACTTGTTTTATAGGTGGTTATCTATCATTGATGGGCCTTGCTCAACGTCCTGACATATTTAAGGTAATGTAGTTATTGAGTTTTTATTTCATAATGGATAATAATGCCATTTCTTTTATGACTGGGAAGTTGGAAAATTGGTTGACTACAAATGACAACAGATAGGTTTTATTGTAAATGAAAATTTGAAAGAAAATAGAACATTTAGTAAATAAGAATTTAAAGAAATAACAACAAAATACACTTAGAATGGGTGTCCATGGCTAAGTGGTTAAGGTCGATGTCTTTGAACCAATTGTGTCACACCACCAAGGGTTCATTATCCTGACAGGGACTTCCGATTCTTATTTTTGAGGAAGCTATCTAGCTAACTTGTGGAATGTCAGTGGTTCTACTCGGGTGTCCCTGCTCAAGTCTGAAATTATGTTTGGGACAATAAGGTCTTCACCTTACCGATAAAGCTGTAAAGTGGCCAAATGACTTTTAAAAGTGTTGATGTGATTTAAAACCCACAAAACAAACAAACTAATACTCCACAGAATCTGTTTTTGTATAAATAATGTTGCTTTATTTTATTGTCTCACTCTCAGCATACGAGATGTATTGATAGTTTGTTATATATGTTTATTAAAGGTTGCAATAGCTGGTGCCCCTGTAGTTGATTGGCATCTATATGATACAGGCTACACGGAGAGATATATGGACGTCCCTGAGAACAATACATATGGATATCAGCAAGGAAATGTTCTCAATTACATAGATAGTTTCCCCAATGAGTAAGTTTTGTCTTATTATCTGTAATTTAGAAGTGTCTAAGTAAAGGTCACCAACAATAAACAACTTGATCCTTACAGCATTGGGTTTGAATCCCGCCAGGACCTTGATTGTATCATGTGAGGAAGCTATCCAGCTTGTTTATGGAAGGTTGTTGGTTCTACTCAGGTAACTGCTCATGCCTGACAAGATGTTCCTTATTTCTTACACCACCAGTTAAGTGGGAAAGATGCCAGATGGCCTTAATGACATAAAAACCCAACCAGATGAGAAAATAAAAAGGAATCTAATCCCTTTCAATTTAAAGAAAAAAAGTTTCAATTACAGGTATTACACAAATATATGGTAGAGGTTTAAAGTAGAGATGATAGTTATGCCTGTACTTCATATATAGAGTCTGCATACATGTGACATCCCGGCGGGATTTTAAAAAATCCCGATATTTCAACACTGATCCCGATTCCCGATATTACAGCTTGAATTCCCGATATTTAAAAAAAAATCAACATAAAAAATCAAACACAACACCTGTTACAGTAGTGTATCTAAAATGTAAACCGTCCCTCCGGGCATTGATTGTTATCTGTCCATATCCTAAATTATAGCGGATTAAATGTTGAGTCGCTAATTGACAGCAAGGTGACGTAATAAACAGTTCCAATACCCAAAGTTATTCTTACATGTTTAACTTATCACGTGTTGTGTGTCAGTCAATTGACCTCTTGTAATTTGGCAGTAGGTATTACTAGATATGTCCTAAAAACACAATTCTTTTTTTCACTGTATCCCACTGTAACCTTATGTAACCCTTGTATCCCTGTATCCCTTGTGGGGGTGAAAAAGAATTGTGTTTTTGTGCCATATATGGGTATTACACGCTACGTCATCAAAACTACCCTGTAAATTTACATGTATGAATTCGGCTCAACCTTTGATTTTCTTTGATTAGTGCCGCACTGATAAAGATAAAAGGTGAGCAGAATCATTTAAAGTGGATCATTCAAAACCTGTTTCAGATGTCTAATTAACCTATTTTTAGTGAGTTGGTAATTTTTTGTTTTGTTTAGGAATTACACAATCATCGAGGCAAAAATGTGGATTTAATTAACGGAACGATTCTTGCATTTATTTTGAGTGTTCTACTTATGACTTATGTTACGTTATTTAACTGTCATAGTCTTATGTTCATGAATAGTTGTTGCACGTTTTCAAATAGCTTGTGTTAAATTATTGAATGACTGAAAAGACATAATTCTTCAAACTGAAAATAATGAAATGTGAAAGTGTGACTGTTTTAGAAATAGCCTGTATGACAACACTTATTTATTTATCTATTTATTTTTTTTTTGGTGAAATAAATTAATATTGATCAACAAAAAAATCATAAAAAGTATAATCATTTAATGATTTTGAGGGTTATATAGATTCTTTGAACCAAATGTGCCAAACACGCATTGAAATTCGAGTCGATAAAAAAATCCAGTTTTGAGCCTCAAAATCCAGCTGAAAATCCAGATTTGGCCCATTTCATTTGTCACATGTATGAGTCTGATATGATTGCAGAAATCATTACCATTTTTAGCATTAAAACTGCACGCCATATATTTCGATAAAATCAAACCTGAGAAAAATGTACTAAGATTTTAGGAAAGGTATAAAGGTTCAAAATTCTAGTAAAGATTAAAATGTTATGTGTGATTAATGTCTGAATTTTTAAATATTTAAAACTTTATTTCTACTGCATTACAAACACAGTAAGGACTATTATGGCATATATTGACCTCTTTATAGTAATTAACATAGATTGTAAGTGCCATTAATAATGTGTAAATTGCATTCTTTTGGTTACTTTACAATATTATACTGTTAAATACTTTTTCAAAAATTTCATGAATTAGCATGAATCTGGAGGTGTGCTGCTTTAAAAGATTTATCTATAATCCTAGTAGAAATAATCATTTACCTGACCGATTTTCATGTTTACACAAAATTGATAAAGAACAGTTGATAGCATGATAATTCTTGCATATCAGACAGGATTATCTACAGTTTACACCAGTGCTAGTAAACACTGTCTTACACCCCCATGTAAGACAAGTCGCGTTCTTTTAAATGAGGTCATTGCCGCGCACCTTTTATGAATGAATTTCGTTCTTAGGATGATTTCATTTTACCATTATGAATGAAGTTGTAATTTCATACGCTTCTATAAAAAAAAAATGTGTAATGAGATAATCTGATTTCCTTATTTCTGTTCTGAAATAATTGATCTGTAATATGCAAGAAAAAGAACCAAACACTGGCTGTCGGAACAGAGCTCTCGGGTAACTGTTTTTAGCAGAAACTCAGCAGAGCCTTGTTACCGCAATAAACAGTTACCCTCGTGCTAGATATTCCGGTCTGTACTGTCAGCCAGTGTAAGATTCTGATAGTCTATTTCAGAAATTCAGTAGGTTAAACATATTTGGGAAAGATAGACAAATCTAGCAAGTATTGTTTCTTGATATTTCAGAGAGAACCGTTTGTTGATAATTCATGGTTTGATAGACGAGAATGTACATTTTCAACACAGTTGTATATTAGTTAATGCCTTGATCAAAGCCTGCAAACCTCATCAAATTCAGGTAAGTCAATTACTATATATGTTGGTTAATTCAGATTGTCTGAAGTCTGGTTCACCTAGTCTGTACTTCTACATAGGCTGAATTCAAGGTGTCTGAAGTCTAAATTTTAGTTCACCTTGTCTGTAGTTCTATATAGGCTGAAATCAAGATGTCTGAAGTCTGGTTAACCCAAGTCTGTAGTTCTTCCTAGGCATAATTTGTGTCGTCTGAAGTCTGGTTAACACAAGTCTGTAGTTCTTCCTAGGCATAATTTGTGTTGTCTGGTTAACCCAAGTCTGTAGTTTTTCTAAGGCATAATTTGTGTCGTCTGAAGTCTGGTTAACCCAAGTCTGTAGTTCTTCCTAGGCATAATTTGTGTTGTCTGAAGTCTGGTTAACCCAAGTCTGTAGTTCTTTCTAGGCATAATTTGTGTGGTCTGAAGTCTGGTTAACCCAAGTCTGAAGTTCTTCCTAGGCATAATTTGTGTGGTCTGAAGTCTGGTTAACCCAAGTCTGAAGTTCTTCCTAGGCATAATTTATGTGGTCTGAAGTATGGTTAACCCAAGTCTGAAGTTCTTCCTAGGCATAATTTGTGTGGTCTGAAGTATGGTTAACCTAGTCTGTAGTTTTACATAGGCTGAATTCAAGGTGTCAGAAAAGTCTGAATCTTAAGTAAAAGCTGTGGTTTTATTTAGGTGCAAGATTTTGATTTAAAGATATTGCATGAATGAGGTTATAGAGGGCACACTAATGCCAGTGATAGCCAGTAAGACAATATATTAGTCACAGTAAAGATATATGTAAGTCATCCATATTGTAACACAAAACATTTTATATGTCTGTTAAAAATATATAATTACTCTTCTTGTATACAAACTGCCCGAGGAAGGTTTTGTTTAGAGTGTATAATTTTTTGACTGTCAACAGAAAACAACAATATGATGTTTCTTTCTCTCTAATTTTATGTTCTTTCAGGACTACCATTAATAGAAGTTGAAGAGTCATTTACTACTGATTTTGGCTTGTAACTTCCAAAATACAATACTTTTCCTTCTTTACCTATAAAACGTTACTTCCAATATCAGAGATTTTGCAGTCACTGACATCCCAATTTTGAAACTTAATGGAAGCCCTGTTCTTCCATTATTTACTTTCATACATGTGTATAGTTTCTGTTGTTTACTGCCATCTGTCATACTTACCATTTCTTATACGTTAATTGTTCTAATTTAAAAGCTAAACGTTCTTTTCATTACAGATTTATCCGAATGAAAGGCATGGAATCAGAAACCCAGAATCCAGTGAACATTACAAAACCTTGTTAATGAGTTTTCTACAAAAAAATCTCTAGGATTTCTTTTACAAAAATGTCATGTACGTGTTTTGAATATACAGTCCTTGTTATGAAATATTTGGGAAATATTTTTAAAGCAGTGTTAAATGTTCTCCAGAATGCAGACAACAAATCAAAAGTAATAATGTCTTAAATGCAGACGATTTTTGTCAAATAATGTACCATAATAAATCTTGTTAAAACATCATGTTGCAGTCAACAAATGGAAAATATACTCAGTAGCAGATAAGCCGTGAAAAACTTCAGTTCATAGAGGATGACATACATTATCATATAATGTACATTACCATTAGCTAGCTTACAGAACACCAGTGCCTGGTCGTGCCTGAAATAATACTTAGAGGGACATCTTGCATCGTCCACCACCAGTGAAGCTGGAAATTCGCCGTATGACATTTACAGTGTTTGGTGTGACTGGAAAACCAACCAATCAAACATGAAATAATGTTCAGTATGAAGAATATGTCCCTAAGCAGACGACATTCGTTATTTCTGTAGAACACAACATGTAAAACATTACAATGTTGCAGAAGACATAAAATATTTTTCCTAAGCAGATGACATATAAAATCTTGTTCATTAGCAGACATACTTGTGTATAATTGTTTCAAGCAAGTTACTGCCTGAAACTTACTGTAACATATAGGAACAAGCAGATTTTTAATCTGATATAATTTTGTTTTTGTTTAAATGATTGTATAATATCTTCATTCTATTGGTTTTAACTTGTTGAAGAAGGGTCGTCTGCAATATATTTGGTCAGGATTTACATACAAATACCTCTTTGAAAAGTCTTGTTTGATTTCTAACATTATTAAAATTTTCATGTACTAAATTGAATCCTCAGGAAAAGATAGATCTAATCATTAACTTGTGATACATGGAGTTAAAGGCTTGTAAGATGTGTCAAAGGCTACAAAACTTGAGAGAGAACAGTCTTCAAATTGTTTTACAAAATTGGTTTATTCTTGTCCTATTTTTAACTTGACTATTGGAAAGATAGACGAGGTGTAAGTTGTACTCACCTAGGCATCGGCACCATACTTAAATTTTGAGTGCATGTTGGTATCTCCAAAATTACTGAAGGGAATGGGTTGAAACATCACATACTTATTTCAGATCATAATAGGTCACTGTCCAAGGCCAATAACACTTACATGGATTTTGACAGGATTATGGCTATTTTTGAACCTTATATTTCTACATTATTAAGGTTCTTGTTTCACTACCAAGCATTGAGAATTATATCAAAAGTTAAGCGTGTTGTCCTAGTTACAGCTCTTGTTTATGATTTGATTTTGACCAGTGGGGAGATTTGGGTTTTTTTTATTTGTCTAGGTAACCAAATATTTAATGTGAGGTTGTTTGATTGGTTCATAAAATACTTATTCATTATAATTTGCAACTCAACTTCATTACCATATAGATACACAGTTAGTTGCATTAGATTAGAGTTTGTAATGAACCATGGCATCTGATTGGTTGAAGTTCAAAATTTGAATTTTAAACTTACCAATGAAACAAGTTCATTACAGACCTCATAAACTGCTTTCACAAAAGTTTAGGACCATAATAATGTAGGGGTGATTGTGAATAGTTTAAAGTTAAAAGATTTATTATCAATTACCATTGACAATATGCAGTAAAATAATTAACTGCTTGAGATTTTTTATGTTGCTTTTTGTTGTTGTTATTGTTGTTGTTTGCTCACTAGAGCACAAAGTGCTTAGCTTTAAGGATTGCTGACTGTCTGTAAACAAAGTATTATTGAACACTTATTTTTTTTTTAGTTAAAGTAACATTACAAATTATGACCATTACCAGTTAATACCTTCTGTAATCATCTTCTATTTATCACGGGTCTTACAAATATTTGAAAGACCCTGATTTCTCACAGATTTTTTATATTTTAAATAAGTCAGTGTTCAATTGTTTTGGTAACAATCACAAACAAAATAAAAATTAGAATAACTTTGACCATTTTTCTTTCAAATAATTTGATATGTTGATTGTGTTTTGATATTTTACACATGTCAAACTTACGCTGTATGTTATTATTAAGAATTACATAGGTGATCTAACAAATTTACAGTAGGGGCCACATTATCAAATTCCTTAAAATTGTTCAACAAGGCCAGTAAAGGGTATTGGATTGGGGTAAAAATTGTTTCAAGGCCAATATTGGATTGGTTCTTTGACAGTTTATGATAAGAAATCGTTGCAAGGGTCAGTGACAGACCTGGGGATGATTATATTGATCAGTAATTGATTGAATTAAAATTACTTTTAGGTTTTGTTGTAATTGATTAAGTTTGATTACTCAGACTTGCCTCTGTAATCAATTAAATTACAATTACTTTAAGCAAGTAATTGATTGATAATTGGTTACATTCAATGTAAAGTAGAATTCCTACTTTAGATCACCCTGGGCAGAAATAAGACCATCCAACTATTAAGACCATTTTTAAAAGGTTCTTTATGTCAATGGTCACATGATCCAGCATTAAGACCACCCGCTTATCCACTTACAAGACCACCAGATTCAGTCCAAATTTCTGTTTTATTCTTAATTTGCAACTGATATTAAAGTCAACACCTGTCTAGATCTTTAACTTGTTGTTATGATCTGGTTGAATCCTCTTTTACATGACACTTGATTTCACAAGGTGTGAAAAATAGTTATTATTGGGTTATTGTATGAAATAAGGTCAAAAAGTAAATTTTAGAGTGGTTTAATGTTGCTTTCAGCACATTTATTTTGTGAAGAATTGAATTATATTAAAATCAGACTAAAGAGGAGATAATGTTAAATTTCTTCAGAAATATGCATTCCTCTCATCACGAGTCATCAGATTAAATACTTTTATAGTGTTTTTATGTTGTATTTGTAGGTAAAGATACATATTGTTTATTCATACAAAATGACTTAAAATGGCCATAAAGTATGTATGCAATGATAAGATAATCACTTTGGTCAAGGCCCAATGGTGGTCTTAATTGAAGATTTTTAACAAAAGTTAAACTGTATCATGTAAACTTAAAGTTGAATTTAAATAGTTTCCTGTTAAATCTGAAAGTAATCAATGTCAATCAAAATGTAATCATAATTACTGACTGAATTTAAGCTGTAATTGATTAATTACAATTAATTTAATCAATTTTTGGGCAAGATAATCAATTACATGATGATTACAGTGTAATCATGTAATCAATTACAAAATCAATGATTGCGATAAATGATTACCCCAGGTCTGGTCAGTGAATGTCAAAGAAACTAATAACCTCATAGACAATACTAAATTAGACTAGGGAAGGTTTTTCTTGATAGAAAATAGATCATGCTCAAATTAATGAATCAGAATTAGACTAGGGAAGGTTTTTTCTTGATAGAAAATAGTTCATGCTCAAATTAATGAATCAGCATTGATTTTAGATAATTTAAGAACTTTTGCACAAGGCAGTGAAGATATATGTAATCAGGTGAGCATTATATAGCCATCTTGATGTTTATTTTTCGTTTGTGATATTTTGTACTTGGCGTGATATGTAACATGTAGTTAAATTGATCTGTTTGGTGTAATTAAACCATTTTTTTGTGAATTTAGTTGAAAATGCTGGTGCTCTTGTACAAGAACAATCATAGAAAAACCTGCTGCTATAAATAGATTTGTGTATACCCGAGTGAGTTTGTACATCCATGCAGTACTACTAGAGTTTATACTGTTGACTGATTTACCCTCTCACTACTTTCCTGACTGGTATATCTGTCCCACTCTTTGTTCCATCACTATGTGAACTAAACTGGTAAACCAGTCCCACTCTCTGTTCCATGACTTTGTGAACTAGACGAGTAAACCAGTCACACTCTCTGTTCTTTCACTTTGTGAAGTAGACTGGTAAACCAGTCACACTCTGGGTACCATCTACTTGCAAACAAGAAAAGTATACCCATCTCATTTTCGTACCAACTATTTGGTACAAAAATCGTTTCCCATGGTCTGCACTGGTCGCACAAGTAAAATCTGTTATTGCCAGCAGTCAAATGGTTACAGTTAAAAATAACACATCCATCCATGTAAAATATTTATTATTGATATTCTTATATTAGATTTTTAATACCTGGAAAGTTATTGTATCCAGAAATTAGTTTATCATGCAATGTATTTTAATTGGAAAATTTATTTAAATTCTGTGATTTTTCTGTTGAGAAAATAATATGTATTTGTTTTCAATGATGTAAATGTAGTACACTATATTATACAAAAGAACAATATATAAGATATTTTTAATCAGTTGTCATGTTTTATTCAACTCAAATGGCAATGTATAGATGACATTAAAGGCATATTTTCTGTGCATTGAAGTATTACTAAATTTTGTTTTTGTTGATTGAGAATGTCCATAACAGGCTCTTGTAATGTTTTCAATTGTGCTGTTTTTGGTGTCTAGCAATTTATCAGTACAAATTACATTCACTTTTGCAAGGGACTTATAACTTCTGTATATGCCAAAAATGACCATAGAAAAGATTTCATGATCAGCCACAACGAAAGTGACCTTCACTATATTGGAATCAAACCAAGTATAACCAGGTCACAGTACAATGCTCTACATATTGAGCTAACCGGATGGTCTGACGGCGGTGCCTGTGTGATATGATTATTTATAGTAGCCTCTTCAAGATTATATTATTGGTGACTCACTCTAGAAGTCTGGCAGTAGTTTAATTTTTCAGAGAAATGGTGAAACTGATCCATATTCTAAATGAAACAACTGATATTTCTACACCACCTTGTATTGCCAGTTAACACGTGGTCTTTTGGTACTGAAATCCTTTAAAGAAACAATGATGAAATCTCAATTCTTTATACAAATTAGCTGTGAAAGGCAGAAGCTTCCTCTTATTTTGTTATAATCATAACACATCTAACCAGCCATACATAATTAATAGTTACCAAAGGGATGTTATTATGTATTAAATTATCGGTATTTCTAAAATGTTAAATTTAACCCCACCTTTGTTATCTCCCTTTTACATTGAATAGGTTTGTGATATCTGTTGAACATCTTAAACAAAAGTTTCTCTGGGATATCTTTAAAAAATCTTCATTGAGATATCTTCAACATTTCTTTTTTATCCTAGGATATCTCTAATGAATGTTCTGTTCTGTAAGACATATCAACTGTTTCTCTGATATATCTTGATCAAATGTTTCTAAGAAATCTGTAAATAAACATCTCTAGGATATCTTTAAGAAATTTTTAACAAATGAGTTTTTATATTAGCGAATGTTTCTATAGGAAATCTGTAACAGATGTTGAATATTTTCAAAATATCTGTGAAACATGTTCTCTGGGATATATTTTACTGGTGTTGTGAGAAATGTGGTAACATCTTTTTCTCAGAGATGCTGGTAAAAATATATTTTGTAGAATTCTGGTAAATTGTGTTTTCTAGAATATTGTTGTAAATGTAATCAGTAGTATCACAAATAGATACATATATTCATGGGTATAGGTAACTCCTGTAAATCATTGGTTATCCGTATTTCTTTTACTATGAGCACATGCCTACAAATTCACCAGTCGTTTCATCCTATTTAAAGACAAGCGAAATTTTATTGATTTTTTTTAATTTTCCTAATTGGATCTTATTATCGGTACAAATGATGTCAATCGTGTCTCACGATGGTCCAGTTTTTAAAATTTTGGAAGGAGTGTATAATGTCTTGACAAAGATAATTTAGTCCAATGGTTCTGTTCTATACATCATCTATGGAATATATTCATTAATTCATACAAATTTGGAAGTCAATGTTAGTTACTGTCACTGTGACCTAAGTGCACTGACTACAAAGAAAGTGATAGTGGATGAGAAGAAAGAAGTTCTCATGGCACGTGTCCCTATGACACCCTCATTTCACATCCGCAACAGTCGTTTCCTAAAAGAGTACATGTATTGGTAATCGCCAATGTATTCCGAGATAAACATTAGTTAAATGTCTGTGAGATCTATATGAAAAAGTCTTCTAATATATAATACCTCAAACAGAGGAGTTTTGAATGTGCTTTTTGTTGATTAAATTATAAGTCCCGCATATTTTCGTATATATGTTATAATTATCAATTCACGTTTTTTAAGTCATCCCAAAATAAATTGTAGTCATCGTTATAACGTTTTTGCCCTACGCAGAATGCCCATGCGCAAAATGCAACATCCGTTACTATGAAAAAATCGTATTGTAAAAAGGTCTTCTTGTATACATTGTATATATTATGTGTATATAATACATATACTATGCAGAAAATCAGTTTATTTACAAGCAAATTTTTGTTATAAATGCGGCTGTAACCATATAGCTTGCGAGTTTATGTTGACAATAATACATGTACATCTTATGTGATTCGATTACTTATTTCTGTATTGAAAAACTATAGCATTTGGTCACAGGTGAGTGATCTAGGGCCACCTTGGCTCTCTTGTTATGGAAACTACAAATGTGTTGCGTCAATTGTTTTGAAAACATTCGACTTTTTAAATAGATATATTTATACCAAGAATTTTCCGAAACATTCTTAAATGGCAACCATTAATTATATCATCGTTTTAAGTGCCTATTCTCTTACATTGTTTTCACGTGACATCATTGATTAACTTCACGTGACTCGCCAACGTAATTTGCATAATCCCGCCCTTTGTTTAATCTATAGTATATAATAAAATAGGCAAGGAATTTTTCATTCATTTAGGACTGTCAATAGTTCTTGTTTTAAATATCTTGTAAATTAAGCATCGTTTGATTCAAATGTATATGTTTGAAAATCTTCGAAAATAAAGCGCGATTTTATCATTGCATGTAAAAACGTGACTGGAAGTTATAGAAAGTGTGTGACCGCATTTAGTATTCAATCATTTCATCGTATGTGTCTTTCAAGGACGTGAGTAAATTGTTTACTAGTATCATATGATGATGACTATATACGTTAAATCACGGCGGGCATTTGTTCTACATGATCGACTCTAAAAAAATAAATCTAAATATGTACATAAATAAAAGTTTTCATTTTTCACATAAAGTAGTTTAGAACAGTTTTTATTTCTTTGGAAAACCTCGATCCTGTCTGTAGTGTTTGGATTCGAAATAAATTAATTTAATTTCGTTGAACAATTAATGTACGATTGTGTACGATGTACAAAACCTGAACGTATAGAATAACGATAGAAGAAAAATTAAACGTTTCATTGCGAGAAAAAACACTAATCAAATATATGAGTTCAGAACATGACATTATGCACCAGTGATTTTTTTATTCAGAAGATAATCTTTCAGAATGATGATTTTTAGTTTGCACTTCTATATAGTATTATTTGTTAGGATGCACACATATGATCAATTCTAAATGTATCAATTTTAAAAAAATCATGAAGTTGAACGGCTTTTAACAACAGATGCTACTATAAAACATGCATGTAAAGTTACGTTTTATTATAATTATCTACAGTGACGTAGATAACCTATATTTACATCCCTGTTATCTATTAATTAATATTGAATTTGCGACCGTCTGCCGAACATTTTGTTTAGTTGCTCGCCGTGTATGTATCATCACGCGCACGTAGATCAATGTACGTACATTAAACATACAATGTAATCTGAAAGCTAACATATAACATATATATGTAGTTATCTTCATTAAAAGTTTGCACATGAAAGTATCATACTCTTATAGTATCTCTTAATTAAAACACATATCGGATTTAAAACGTAAGTACAGAATTTTCAAACCATTGTTTTTCTTGTAAACCAGGAAATGAATTTGACCATTTTTAATGCGCATTTTCAGTTAAAGTGTACTTTTAGTAAGATTTTAAAAGGAAACAATGAGCTGTATATAAATGTGTAATTTCATGTTGTCTATTGTAAAGCGGATACTTAGTACTTAGTGGAATGAAAATATAATGATAAGCATTTAAAATAAACGAATTAAATGTGAAAATAATGTAAACGGAATAGTTCATAGCTAATTGTTGCCAACATTTTTTTCGTTGGATATAAAATTTAAGATTAAAAAACACGTTTTTTTGGGTTGACAAATAATTAAACGAGTCTTGTCGTTCATATGCATTTTTGAAACTGGCAGCAGTTTGTCACTTTTTGTATTCATTGTGCGAAGCAGAATGAATACAGAGTTATAAGTACAATCTCAAAAAAAGGTAGGCAGAGTGGATTTGCTGAACAGCATCCATCCGCTTATACGTCCGTGACATAAAGTAGTTCATGATTTGCACTTAAATCGCTTTAAGCATACGCTAAGCGATGACTTATCTGTCCCAATGTTGCAAAAAATTATGTTAAAGTTTTTTCTACCCGAAAATCATGCACTTTATTCATGTTTGACATCTAAAAACATCGATAAAAATTTCCTGTATTTCTACGCTACAAATTATTATTAACGCATGCGCAGACTCACAATAATTTATCGAAGAGAACAACACGTAAGAGAAATTGCTCAGGAAAGAATCAACAACCATCGCACATATTGTAAGTAAATATATTTGAGTTATTGTTTTTTTTCATTGATTATCACTTTATATATTTATTCATTACATAACTTGACGAGTATTTTACGGGAAATTTGAATAAACGGCCAAGTTCAAAAACACTTTGATTGACTCGGCCGCTCGTCATTTTGTCATTTACGTAATTTTCCCTATAATTCGAAATGAAAGTGTTAGAATGTTTCGATTTGAGACCAACTTATCCACTGATTTTGATCATTGTCATGTTTTTTTGTTGTTTACTCGTGTGTCACGTAACTTGGTCATAACATAAACACAAACACGAGGTTGACCCACTTTTGAGAATTGGCCCATTGTTGACAATAGCGTGAAAGGCGTTTGTTATTATCTATTTCATCACTTTCTTTTCGTTAGAAAATGTGGTTAATGAGCTGCTTTTTAGAGTTTTGTATTTGGTTGTGAAATATTAACAAATTTCATTATGTAAGGTTCGCGCCATAAACATGACTCATACCGGAAGTTCCTTTGTTTGTTTACGACCGGAAGTCGCTTATGTTCAAAAATTAAATAAGAATCAAAATTACATGAAGGATTTAAAGTTAGATTGATGTGGTAAATGCTGTATAATATTTATTTCCAGGTTGACTGTAACCTTTTTGTCGTGGGTATTGTAGCGGATATTCCTTGTGACGTAAGTAAATCTATATACTGGTAACAATAATTTTTTATTATGAAAATTGCAGAGGCAGTCGGTGTGTGGTTTTGATACATAAAATGATCATGATATCTGCCACTTGCTTGATGCCTAAGTTTAAGTTCAATTTGTTTTATCAACATGTATATTGTTGTATCTAAGCTAGGACAGTCGTCTGTGGTTTATATTAGTAGAGGTGATTCAGCCATCTTTGTTTTTTACTAACTGGGTCTTGCTAAAGTGAAAGTATGCCAAAATTCATACAAGTTTAGATTACCAATATCTACATCATACTGCTTTAAAATTGTTAACGATTACTTTAAGTATACATTAAAGAGCCAGCTATGAAATACAAGGGAATCCAGGAACCAGTATTTAGCTTTTATTGAATAGACCCCTTTGTTCTTTTACATGTCTGGATTTCTGAGTACAGCTCTAGGTAGGTTGGAAACACTAAAAGTGTCTCTAAACAATCCCAAGGGTGTAACCCTATATTAAATCCAGGATCTCGGGAGTGATAATCCTTCACTTCCTAGGGCAACTCTAAAAGAATCCAAATATAGAAGCTACTGCTGTGGTCAAAGTAGCAGAAAGTGAGAAATGTACAGAAGGGAGGTAACTCCTGTACCAGAAATTATTGATAAAATTAATATGGCAGATAATCATCGTATGCATTCGCCCTTTAAATATTTTTCTTATTTAAACAAGTAAAATGGTTTTGGATGGTTTTGAAAATGAAATCTCTAAATTGATATTTTCAGGGAAATAAAAGATTATTTACTTTAATATTCACTTGGAAAGGCTGGTACATGTAGCTAGAAAAAGTACAGTATAAGATTAAAGAAAGACTAGAAGATTATTACAAACAACAGGTACTTATATAATATTTAATGTATATTTCACAAACCAAACTGTTTTCCAAAAAAAATGAATGAAAACATGCATTTTTACCAGTGTCACCACGGGTCAGATTAACAGACCCATTCCCAGTGGCAAATAATGCCAAATATGCTTTTTTTCTTTTCCAAGTTTAGAAAAAAATCATAAGTCAAAATTCCGTTATCAAAGGTGACAATTTTTCTTCATTCCATTTCAATCCAATATGGTACCAGACAGATGATGTTCAAAAACACATTCCATTGTCAATTTTTTATGTATTTTTTATGCTTTGAATGATATACAATTTGTTGGATTAACAACTTTGTACATGGTACTAAATATTTTTCCCAATCAAGATGCAAAATTTCTTAACCCATTACTTCATGAGCATTTTGTGAAAATGGCTGTTTCCATTGAAAAGTCTCCCGTTACAAGTTCAAATTGCTATAATACTATAAAAACTGCTTCAACACTAATCAAACTTGGCACAAATGTTGACTGGACCATTGCCCTTGCAACAACATGCTCAGGCTTAAATTTTCTGTTCCCATGGCAACGAGGGGACATCTCAAAATTGCCCAAAATCACTACTTTGCCTCGATTTTTTCAGTCAAAATTGATTTCAAAGTGATGCCACTTCTCAATGGATTGAGATATAGTCAAATGCTTTTCAGCATTGGTTACACGTTACCTTATGATCAATCTGGGGTCATTTACAGCCTCTCACAAGTCCAAAATTTTCTTGGCATCATGCTTAGAATGGTTTCACACAGGTCAGTAAGACCGGTGTACACAATGTACTGTCTGCACATATGTGTCAGAAAAAATATCACAAAAAAGGAATTTAGTATTACCACGGACTTTAATTGACAAGGATCGGACACTTCCGATTGGGCTTTAAATCGGGCCGCGCGCATGCGCGAGATCTTCTCACCGGAAGAAGATGAAATAATGGCGTAGACCGAGGATGACATGTGTAAACATTTGATAAAAAAACTCGGTTTTTGCTGTTGATTGCGTTGTTTATACAACTTTGGTACACACTATTTGTCAAGTAAGTATTATTGAATATGTTTACATTAAGTATTTATTTTATTTAGCTCCTTAAACAATCAAACTGCCGTGAAAGTTAGTATTGTAATTTTGCTTATTGTAACGGTAAAATTATTCAAGATGGCGGTGAACACGAACGAAAATAAGCTGATTTTGCTGCCCAAATATGACGAAACAGGAATTTATTTTATGTTTAAATTGTAATGTTTATACTAACATAGTATTGATTTGTGCAGTCAGATAAATGGTTTTCTTAGAATATGGCTGTAGAATACCGCAACATTAGATTTAAATCACCCCTCGTTCAAAGATGGCCGCATAAATAAAAAAAAAATCTCCGAAATTTGCTTCCCGTTTCATAGAAGGGAAAACTGTTGTTGTTCAAAAATTCGTTCTAATTATTATCACCATTGTGTGATTAGTGCAACAGAAGTAAAAATTTGGGAATTACTTACAAACTTCCTTGGTAATTTTAGTTTGAAATTTGTCTATTTTTGGTTTATTACATCTAAGTTAATTGTTAATATTCTGTTCATATAACTTAAGTTTTACCCTTTTCCTGAAGGTCATGGAGGATTCAATGACACTCAAAATACATGTAGAAATCCTGGACAAAATTTACTTAAAAAAATAGGAGTGAAGTCTTGAATTTTTCATTTTAATGATAAGTATATGACCAGCATTAAATTAATTTGAGCTGGGATATAAATATTACAGATTGCATGAGTGATGTTTTGGTTGCTGTACATGTATTTTGCATATAAATCTGAAACACAATCAGGGACAGCAAAATCAGTTGTTCAACAGGGTTGTCAAACAAACTCATTTGTGTTATTGTCTGACTCAGAAGCTGTGTTCAAAATCTTGAAATAAATGGGATGCAGCAAAGCAAATAAATATCGGCTGAATTTAGAAGAAAATATTCCTGCAAGACACAAGTGAAAATATGTTTCACTGCAGAAAAATATATTTTTAAAAGTGAAAAAACTAATTTTACTTCATCAATATTTCTCAATATTTGATTTGTATGTGTTCAATTTTATGGGTATTTTATATATATTTTCAGATTATTGATCCTGTTACAGTCATTTGGTGATATATCAACATACAATCATGACAAGAAAAAAAGGACAAATTGGTAGAAAAATGAAGCGAGAGAAACCACGGAAGCAACATTTGTCAGCAGATGTTCTGGCGGAAGACCTCTTATCAAAATCGCTTGGTGACACATTCTTCGTTAAGGATGGTACTACAGAAAGTTATGAAACACCTTTAGAAAGAGTTGAGTGCTTTGACAGTGATGGATGTCATGCTGACGAGTTTTTTGTTATTCTTGACAAGCCTTACAGATATTGTCCAGATACTGGTCTTGATGAGTTTGTGGAAAATGAATCATTAAGGATATTTAGTGAATTCCGTGAGAACTGTAAAAGGCATATAACAAATGACAATTTCACATACATGAAATCTTCAAATGACTTGAAATTCATACATTTGTTAGAATAATTACATATATAATTAAAAGAAATTAAAAATGTGTTCAAGTATGTAAATAAATGTTTTCAAAAAATCTACTGTTTCATATTGTAGAAATATAGAACACAAAATTGTGCTGGTAA